TAATCACCAAAGATACCAGCCTGTGAACTCGCGGTGCAAGACGGAAGCACAAGACGAGTCAACCTCCAAAGATTCGTTGTCACGGGGTCTTGTAGAGTTTCCATCAGCGCTTAATCTGACATGCTCTCAATGGTGACGACACGGTTGTCCGAAATTAAGAAAAGTCACAGTTTTACCGCAAGGGCGAAGCGATGAATGGGATAGCAACAACTTGGAATGTACGCTGCAGCAGATCGAAACGTGCAGTGTGCTACTCATGTACAAATGATGCACGAAAACAACATACACAGGACGAGAGCGAACTAACAACATTTACCGCTCGACACTTAATGCACTGTTTAAACAAAAACGATGCGAGAAACGTAATCACAGGTACAGATATAAGTGTGAACTAACAAGTGCCCCACTTGTTGCTTTGCTGTGTTTGAAAATCGCTCTCTTTTTGCAAACGCCACCCTGTACAGTGAGCGAACTGATATTTGTGCACCCGGCAACTAAACGCAATTGTTCCAGTCAAAGTCGAAGGCGCACGATTCTCCCCACCCAAGAATAAGAGCGCGCTTATGCAGCTACCCCCCCCCCCATACATAGGGCAAGGTAAGCGTAGGAGATACGCGCGGTCGGCGCATCGTGACGAGCTGGGCACCAAGCACGGGTGTCTTTTCTTTTTTGAATTTTCATATATATGGATATGTATACATTTACAGCGAATGACAGTGCTGATGGAAACTGCAAAAAACAGCCAAGACTCTCCATAGTGTCGCAGTGCAACGCGAACAAAAGATGACAGCAGCTTACGGCAGCGAAAAAAGCGTATTCAGGATCAGCTGTACAGCAAGATGCCTGCTTCGTTGTCGTCCCGAACAACCACCTGACCCACTAGCTGGAATCTATGAAACATTCCTATCACCGTTCTTTTTCATATAAACACGTGTCACTTGCCCCTCCTTATAAGAGCATCGCCCCGATGCTGATTCAGACGCACAGTATTTTTTTGAACGTGCAGTCAGTCACTCACATACGGCTTCATACGCACTACATGAACAAGTTCAGGCTGGTGCTGGCGACGCCTCGGGCATTGGGGACTGTCGGAGACAACCTCGTAGGTGACGTCACTTAGCTGGCGCGATACTCGGTATGGCCCGAAATATCGCCTTAGCAGCTTCTCGGACAGTCCACGTTTCGTACGGGTGTCCAAACCCACACTCTGTCACCGATTTTGTACGTTACAATTCTATGGCGAGCATTGTAGCGGCCTGCGTCGTAGTCTTGTCGCTGGTGGATCCGTAAGCGGGCGAGCTGTCTAGCTTCTTCCGCGCGTTCAGTGAACACGTCAGCGCCTGTGTCGGTAGCGTCCCATTGATGTGGCAACATCGCATCCAGCATAGTCCGTACCTCCCGTCCGTGAACCAAGCTGAATGGAGTCATGCGAGTCGTCTCTTGTTTAGCCGTATTGTATGCGAACGTGATATAGGGTAAAATCTCGTCCCAATTCTTATGTTGGACATCCACGTACATCGACAGCATGTCTTCAATCGTCTTGTTGAGGCGCTCCGTAAGTCCATTTGTTTGCGGGTGGTACGCAGTGGTCTTACGGTGAGTTGTTCCACTAAGCATGAGGACGTGGTCTAAAATAGCTGCCGTAAATGCTGTTCCGCGGTCCGTGATCACGATAGTCGGAGCACCGTGGCGTAGCACAATATTTTCTATGAAAAATCTCGCCACTTCCACGGCGGTGCTCTTTTGGATAGCTTTTGTTTCGGCATACCTGGTTAGGTAGTCTGTTGCGACTATAACCCAGCGATTCCCTGCAATAGAAGTAGGAAGGGGTCCTAAAATATCCATTCCTACCTGTTCAAACGGTGTACATGGAACCTGAACTGGTTGCAGCTGACCGGCGGGTCTCTTTGGAGGTGACTTGCGTCGCTGGCAATCGATGCAAGTGTGAACGTGGTGCTTGACGGCTGCTGTGAGTCGTGGCCAGTAGTATCCCTGCTGTACTCTTGCCAATGTGCGAGTGTAGCCTAAATGGCCAGACGTCGGCTCATTGTGACATGCTTGGAGCACTTCAGTTCGAAGGGGTGCAGGAATAACGAGCAAATAGGGAGCTCCGATGGACGAAAAGTTTCTCTTGTAGAGGACGCCATTGCGTAAGCAAAACGACGATAATGTCCTTGCAAAGACTTTCGGTGCCCTCGAAGAACGTCCGTCCACGTAATTAATCAAATCAAGCAATTCAGGGTCACTTCGTTGTTGTTGAGCAATCGTGGACGCGTCGAGAACACCAAGGAAGGCCATATCGTCGTCGTCAGAAAGAGAAGCTGACTGTACTGGTGATCGAGACAGGCAGTCGGCGTCCGTATGGCGCTTCCCAGACTTGTGTATGACCGTCATATCAAACTCTTGTAACTTCAGACTCCACCGTGCTAATCGGCCGGTTGGATCTCTTAAATTAGTCAACCAACACAGGGAATGATGGTCACTTATAACTTTGAAAGGGCGGCCATACAAGTACGGGCGAAATTTCATAACTGCCCAGACCACGGCGAGGCATTCTTTCTCAGTTGTTGAATAATTGGCCTCGGCGCGTGTTAGCGTCCTGCTTGCGTAGGCGATCACTCGTTCCGTGTCTTCTTGCCACTGCACAAGCACAGCTCCGAGGCCTACATTGCTTGCGTCAGTGTGAAGCATTGTTGGCGCTTGTTCGTCGAAGTGAGCAAGCACTGGAGGTGTTTGAAGACGTTGGCGGAGGTCATTAAACGCTGCTTGCTGTTCGTGATTCCACTCAAAGGTGGCGTCGTCTCTAGTAAGGCGAGTTAACGGCGACGCAATCCGTGCGAAGTCGGCGATGAACCGGCGATAGTAGGCGCATAGGCCCAGAAAGCGCCTGACAGCTTTCTTATCGGACGGTACTGGGAACTGTGTCACGGCCGCAAGTTTTTCGGGATCAGGTCGAACGCCGGTACAGCTGACGACATGACCAAGAAACAGCAGTTCTTCAAAACAAAAGTGGCATTTCTCTGGTTTCAATGTAAGGCCTGCGGAGCGTATGGCTCGTAAAACAAGTTCTAGCCTCTTGAGATGCTCGTCAAATGTCGGGGAAAACACTATGACGTCGTCTAGATAAACTAAACAGGTCTTCCATTTTAACCCTGAAAGTACAGTGTCCATGAGCCTTTGAAAAGTAGCGGGCGCTGAGCACAGACCGAACGGTAGAACTTTAAATTCATATAAACCATCCGGCGTCACAAAAGCGGTTTTTTCACGATCTCTTGGGTCTACCTCGATCTGCCAATATCCACTTCTGAGGTCCATTGAAGAAAAGTAGCGAGCGTTTCGAAGCCTATCGAGGGAGTCATCAATACGTGGAAGCGGATACACATCTTTCTTAGTCACTTGATTCAGCTTCCTGTAATCCACGCAAAAACGCAGGGTACCGTCCTTTTTCTTAACTAATACTACAGGCGATGCCCACGGGCTCTGTGATGGCTGAATCACATCATCTTCAAGCATTTTAGCGACTTGTTGCTGTATCACTTCCCGTTCCTTTGGAGCCACACGATAAGGATTCTGGTGTATAGGCCTTGCTGCGTCGTGGGTAATTATTCGATGTTTTGTTAGCGGCGTTCGACCGACCCGTGATGTCGATGAAAAGCAGTCCTTGAATTCGGCTAGCAGCTCAAGAAGTCTCGTTCGTTCGTCCCTTGACAACGTAGTACCAACGTCAAGATTAGGTAGTGATTCTTCTTGAGGTGCTTCGTCTAGGCCCGATAAACTGCCTTGGATTTCTGCAGTAGTGTCAAAGTAAGCGACGGCTGTACCCTTCGGGAGATGTCGGCGCTCAGTGCTGAAGTTAGTGAGCAGCAAGTTTGTGCGTCCAGCAGTGACAGTGACAAGACCTCGAGCAACTGAAATACCATGGCTAAATATCAGTGAGCTTATTTGGTCAGCAATGCCGTCGCCGTCAAACGGCTATTGCAATAATAAAAAAAAAAGCAAAGCTGAACATCGTCGGGCGCCACACCATGCACGCGCAGTGAAACTGCACGCGCGCGTGAGGTCAAAAATGAAGAGCAAACGACATAGACACAGACACCGCAAAAAACTATTCGGTAGAGCACCCCCCATATGCAGCGCGGCCCCACATATGTGACGCTAACTAAAAGCGTGGCACTGCCAACGCACCAAAGTAGTTTTTTTTTTTTTCCTTGATTTGATTTGGAGTGGAGGGGGCACACTTGCGCATGCCACTGGAGTGGTGAGAACGGCGGCAACGCCGGCTAGCGGAGTACAAGCCTGCCTGCCTGCTTCGCGCTCACCCACATGCAATAACGAGCGCTCGCTCTCGCCTGGTGCGCTGCCATCGCTTCACGCTTTCTCGTTGGCGGGGCAGCTATGAAAGACGCATGCTCGTATCAAAATGCCAAAATTCAGAGTGAAATTTCTAGATTGTCTGTGGGGAAAATTCATTAAATCAAGGTTGTCTCCCACTGTTACTTTGTTACATAGAGATCGCAAATACATGTGCTTCTATGGAGCAACGGTAAGAAATAGAAAAACTTTCTTATATCGAGGAATTCGTTATATGGAGGTTCATTATAAGCAGGTTTACTGTAGTACTAATCATAACTGATCACCCACATCATGAGACTGCATTTAGGAAACATATTCAGTGCAGACTTGCATCACAGAGCAATCCCAACACTGTCCGTACTCGTGGTTTTACTGAAAAGCATACCGAGTATGGACATTTTAGTAAATTCAAACCTTCATTTGGAGATCCTTCGAGTTGGGGTTAGTGTAGGATTTGTTTTGATTGCTCTTTTAACCTGTTCATGGAAATTTGTGATCTACAAGGAGGCAAACCCAGTGGTGTGGTGTCTTATGCTACTCTATTGCAACTTTGTCAGTGTTACCTGTTTCATGTTATTGAGTGCAGCATCTCTTGGTAGTGTTCTGTCCAGAAGACTATCGTAAAAATATTATACTTTTTTTTCCAGATGATGACTGGGAAATCACACTGCAGAAGCCAATCATTTGGTCTGGTCCCCCGTTGTGTCTCGATCTCAACCCTAAAGTGAGGGCACTTCTATAATTTTGTCTTTTATCTTAGCAGACCATGACTAGTTTTAAACTTTTTAGAAATTGGGAATAGCCAGTGCTTTTTTGATGTTGTGTATTGGTAGTAACATAAAAAAAAAAGTAGCTCTACTTTCTTTTATATGTGAAGTTTTGCTAGCAAGGATTAATTCTAAAGCCTTTTGTTTAAGCTTGTATGAATAGCTTCGAATATTCGAACTAATAGTTGAGTATACAAATTCGCTTCAATTCGAATTTAGATTATCGAATATTTTCGAAGTATTCGCAATGAACGAATAAATGTACAATAATCTGCATGTTATTGCCTGTAAAGGTGGTTTCACTGCAATGTAGAGGTGCTAAGCTATGATAGCACTTACCCAGGGGAAATTTGCTTTGCCACAAAGCCTTCCTTTAAATTTAAAGGGGCCCTGCAACACTTACTGAACATGGTCAAAAAACGCTGTTGATCGGTATTCGAGGCTACTGAGAACATGCGAGGCAAACATTGTAGCGCAGCACGTGGCCTGTAATTCACAATAAATTTTCAAAGCTAAAAATTGCTTTCTTTCCTGGCAAATGACACTACAAGCTCAAAAATCACTTGTCACAGCCAAGAGCGAATATACGGCTCTGGTCACAGCCATTGGCTCATTTGAGCATGGTGCGCTCGTCGTTACCGGGGCCGCCACTTGTCCACGAGTACGTGCGCGATCATACTAAAAAGCCGTGTGTTCGAAGAAAAAAAAGATGTGCTCAAGGTCACGAGGTGCGTGTGATGTATTTTCTTTCGCCGTGCCATTCCTCCCTGTTTAGCTTCCAGCTATTTCGTCAGGACGAGAAGAGAGAATGTGACAGCGTGCGACAAGTTTTCGGAACTCCGCTCGTACTGGACTGATTCTAGAAACTTTGTGGCAGCAAATTTGGGAGGTAACAAGCATGTTTACTGGCCCCGTGGCTACTTGAAAAAGTGTCGCAGGGCCCCTTTAAAGGAACATGTTACCCTCAAATCAATTCTTCATTACATTAAGCTTGTTATGATGGCTTATATGCTCCAAGCATAATAAATTTTGAAATGTGAAGTATCTTAAAGGTTATCACTCACATCCTACCGAAACTACTACTTAGGGTTGCTTCAACTTCCTTTGAACGAAAAAAAAATGGCATTTGCATAGAGCCTCTACAGTCGCCGACCGATTTTCCGGACTCCAAAAATTCGGACTTGTTGGATATTCCGGACTTCATAAATGCACCGTCAGGGATCCCATAGAGCTAATGCATTGTTTCGACCGATTTTTCGGGCTAATTTGCCCCTGAAAGTTCGATTTTTCGGACTAAATCGCTCGTTTTGTGCCACGCCCCAAGCAATTGTGAACGCCGCCATGTTGGATTTTCCGTCGGCTTGGCTAAGCTTGGTCTTCAGATGCCTTTCCTGCCTCCGAGATTAGAATGCGCACGCCATATTTTAAGTTTCGGAGGCCATGTTTGCTTTTTAAAAGACGCGGTGATGAATGCCGTTTTTTCGTCTTCGGTCAGCACTATCGTCATCACATCGCACGGGGAGGAGGCGAAAGAAGGAATCTTTTATTGTCGTTGCAGCTTTTTTCAGTCGCCATTCTGCACGTGTTGTGTCGCGTACCGTCGAGACGTTGTGCTTCGCAGCGGCTATCTGCGGCATCGAATTTTGTGTTCTCGGTGCCATGGCTCCGCCATCTGTGCCATCGCGGGAGCCACGTGGTGTTAAGAAGCGTGCGCGGAGGCCACTGACGACGAAATTCTTCGCCAGGTTGTCCCGGAGCCGGAGAGCGGCTCGGATGACGACAACGACGACCGCCCGCAGCCGTCGGCGGCGGAGATCGCCAACGCGGTGACAATTTTGTCGAGCGTTTACGGCGACGATGTCACCTTGGCGCAAATACGGGCAAACCAAATTGCCTCCAAGCGTAGTTTGAGGCAAGGCAGCATCAAGGACTTTTTTAAACCTGCCTGATGCAATAAACTTCAGATTTTTGGCGAAAACGAATTTTTCGGACTGTTCGATTTTTCGTACTTTTTTTCGGTCCCCGCCAGGTCCGAAAAATCGGTCGGCGACTGTATTTCAATTCATAAGAAATATTGTGGAGGGTATTACGGTCATGGTAAAGATTCCCTTTTTTTTTATATGTCATACATACCATTCCAATTCGATTCATAATTATAGTAGACTCTCAGTAAACAGAAATCTGTTAAATGGAACTACTGCTTAAACGGAACTATTTCTTCGGCTATGCTTGGTTTCGGGCTTGTATTCTGCACCTATGGTCTCTCAGTAAACGGAACTCCTGTTAAATGGAACATATTTTCCCTGTCCCTTCAGGTTCAGTTTACTGAGAGTTTACTGTATTCGATCAAAATCACTATTCGTTTCGAATTCGCTTCGACTCTAAAATTCACTATTTGCACAAGTCTACTTTTGTTTAGTTAATGGTCCTGTAACGACTTGGCAATCCTATGATAAAAAAAGTAAAAAATCAATTCTAGGCTTCTGTGTTGGGCACATTGTGGCTGTGTTTGGTTTGCGGGAGGGGCCAAGGGGTAAGGCGAGATGACATCGGCAGTGGCCTCATTGATTTGAAGTATTCAAACAAGATTTTGTAGTGTCTACGAAGCATAGTAAGTTGCAGATGTAAAGGACACTGCACTTGGTAGAGTAGCACAAGCTTTCTTAAATATAGCATTTTTATGCAGTTTCTACCATTCAGGCCTTTGAGTTATTTGGTGACAATAATATATCTATAATTACTGCTCAAGAGATTTAGGTTACTGTAGGTAGGTAGGTAGGTAGGTAGGTAGGTGAGCAACTTTATCAATCCATGAAAGAATCATTTGAGGGGGTGTGTGGGAGGGGAAGTGGAAGCAGGATGACTACGGGCCCTAGGTGCTTGGACACTATTCTGTTTTAGAGACCCCTCTGGCCCAGCTCCTTGTCCAGAGCTGTAACCCTGGTTATGAGCTGCGCAGAGCAGCCTCCGATCACTCGTGGTGTTTTGACCCTTTAGACGGGGGCTTGGGTTTGTTCAGGCAATTTAGAAATACGTGATTGAAGTAGGCTTGGTGCTAGGACACAAGTTGCAATGAGGAGAGGTTTCACCATGCATAAAAAGGGAGAGAAGGAAAGGAGTTGTGACTTTGGCTGTTTGAAGTCTGTGCCACAAAACCTGGTCACTTCTGGAAAGAGATTTTTGTGGTGGAGGATACGCTAGGTGCGAATTTCGGTAGAAGAGTGTGACATTGTGATAGCTGAGGAGTTGATCTCTGGCACCTCGAAGTGAAGGCAGGTCGCTGTGAGCCTGGTTGACAAGTGCTTGGGCTTGGGTGTGAAGGGCCGTGTTGCCTGTGTAGTGCACTGGAATCCAGAAAAGAGCGATGAGGCAATCAAGCAGAGGAGATAATTCAATAAATCTAGCAGCCAGAAAGTGTATTTTGAGAGTGGCCAAATTGAGAATTGCAGTTTTGAATCAGCAGGTGTGAGACAGCTGCGCATATAGGCAACCGACAATGGTTACGTGGCACAGTGATCAGCCCAGCCGTCAACGCCATGGCGTTGATTCCGCGAAGCGTCGAGGTGGCCAACGAGCAATTTCTACTTTGCATGGTATGAGTTTATTGTGCTGTTTGAGGCATGTCGGTGGTTTCGCATTGCGGTTTTAAGGCGATTTAAAACATCGATGCCCATTTTCGACCACCAACGCTTGAAAATGACGCGCACTGTACGACAACGACCATGTGTATAGTGTTAAAGAAGTGAACACCGAGTGCTTGTCACAGCAAAACAAGCATGTTTATGACGTTGAATTTTTATGACGCACAAATACGACCGTATACGTTTCTCAATCAGCTGTCACTTGCCACTCGAAAACCTCGAAAATTGTTGAGCAGGAGCTCTCGACCGCCTCTTGTATACAGAACGAAATATTGTCGGAAAGTAACCAGGATGATTCTCTGTGGTGATTTTTCGCCGTTGTCGAAATACCTCGAGCATATCCTTGTATTCTCGTTAGGCTTCCAAGATGAGAGGTCACCGGTGCCGAAAGATTGAATTGAGAGCAGTCAGCTGGCACTCAATAACGCGAAAACAAAGTGTGTCCAAGTGTTCGCGAGGGAGACGCGAATATCCGAATACGCAATGAGTAATGAAACGATCAGCTCACAATAACAGGAAAACGAAGCATGTGCATGAGAGAAGGGGTAATTTGCAAATACTTCATGTGTTACGCGGTGCACTCCAGCCTTATTTCTGTCGTACTAAGCGTGAGAAAGCCTCGGCATTAAAGAGCACGTTACAGCAGTCTAGTAATCGTCTTGGTGTACAAAGGAGCGGCAGGACACGTTGACAAATCAATGTGTGGGAAAATTCACCAGGCGTCCAAGCTCTTACGACGTTAGGTTTCACGAATGCTTCCCGTTATTGTTTTCGCTCTGATGTCATTTAACGAAAATTCGCAAGGGGGACACTTACTTGACGCGCCGAACAGCGACGATCCACTTCTGCCGCCGAGATGCTTCCCATGGTCTTGATGGGAAGCGATACATTATGACGCTGACATCCCCTTTTTTATTGTGGCAATCCTTAATGCAGCAGTATCTGCGTTTGTTCTTTTTTTTCACATCTGACAACGTAGTTGTCAACAGGGTGCGATAAATCCATTGAAAAACGACGCACTGCTATGTTGTTCCGCCTGTTCGAACAACGGCAAAATGGCTCAAAGGGCCGCCCCGTGGGTTCTAATCAACGCTGCTAGGCGGCGCGACGTGTACAAGCAAACTGCATTGCCGGTGCCTGTTGCGCATTTTTGATACATTTGCATTACCTTCTACCAAGCTGCTCCTAAAATATAAAAATACCTAAAATTTCTCTGAACTGCTCCAAAACAGCCTAAAAAGCTACTATTTTGATGGTAACCTCTGCTTCATTGGGGAAAAAAGTCCGAGTTGACTACAATACGACGCAACCAAGCG